GTGATTGGTGGGATGGTGGGAAGAGACCAAAACAACGTTGATAAAGACATGAGATTATATATAAGTCGAGCCCACAAAATAGAAGAAGGGAGGACATTGATGTAGACAAAAACTATCATTCATTGTAAATGCGAATTGATTAAAGATTATTCAATTTATTTCTTCACGGATGATCCGTGTTTCATCAACAGAGAAACAAAATTTTCTTCTTCAACATTGTGGAGCAAATCGAAAAAGATTATTTCCTCTACATAATCAAAGACTTTATATGACATGATATCCAAAACACAATAATAAATGGCATATGATATCTATAACTTGTTTGAAATTGCAACTAGGGCTTCACTTGGCTTTCTCAGTACTTCCATACCTCTTCTGCAGCGGCTCTAATTGTCTCATTCTCGTGATGTAGATAATCTCTCATTTCCATTCCCAACTGAAGATCAGAAACAATTAGCAAAAAAACAATGTATTTTTCAATCAAAAAATACACATGTCTGATTATATACATACCAGTACATATTCCATCTTCTCCTCATCCAACAACATTCATATTGCTTCAAAAGTTTGCAACAAGTTTTTGAATGAATCCTCTCTCTGCCTTTCGAGTGTGGCGTGATTTTCTTGAGCTGATCTTAGATTTCCAATTAGCACATCATTATCATCAAGAATCATTGTTTCGTTATCAAGATCGAGATCTTCAATTTTTTTTTCCAATCTCTGTGAATCTTCAAGAGATTTGTCCTAGGTTTTCAACACATCCAAAGCAGCTTCATTCAAGTCACCATCCTTGATTGCGCTTTGAAGATCCATCCCAATCAAAAGAAATATTTTGTTTTCCTTGTGATCAAGTTTGTATTCTTCAACCTCCTGGGGATTCGTCTTTGTACTCGCCTCCACAAACAATATCACATAATAGTTTTGCATGAAAGAGTTAAAAAATACAATAACATGGATTCATATATACGTATAATTAAAAAGTATTTACGTGCCTTAACCAGCTTAAATTGTTGTTCGTTGAGGACATAACTCTTCATTCTTCTCAAATTGCAGATCTGTGCGTTTATGAGATCATCAATTTCTTTTGACAGTCTCTTTAAATCTTGACGAAATTTAGTAATATTTCCTGAATTATTGTCCATAACTTTTTCTTCTTTCATTTCCCAAATATGATTTTATCCTTTGCTACCGCTTTCAACGAGATTAACTTTTTTTTATATGAAGTTAAGGAGAGATCTACTCAACAAAAGAATCCAAATCCGAAATTTACTAGATAAGTTAAAAGGAAATCAAATTTTGGAAGGATTCTTATAATAAAACAAACAGTAATCTGGTAAAAAATAATAATAATTCAAAAAAATTCTTATATTTTAAGATTTTAATATCTATGATAAATACAAAGAAGAGAAGTGATTGAAATAACATAAAATATAAAAATAATAAATTCTATTCATATTTAAAGATAAAATCCGTTTTTATTTTAATTTGGAGTTTAGTTAAGTTTTATAATTCCTTCTTTTTGTAGTACTAGAATTTCTTATTTTATTATAATTACTTATTTTAATAGAATTAGATTTATGGGTTGTTAACATGTCTTATCCTCAGATTAAAAAAGTCTTTGAATCATTCATGGATTTAACCGCTAAGCTAAAGCTTATCTAATGCCTATCCGTATTCCACCATATCTCCCAATTTCCTCCCTGTCTGATCTTTACCATGACCCTCCAAGCAATTGCGTCATCTGTTAGTCCACTTTTACACCGTATATTTTATACATAAATATTGTCCTTTAATTTTTAATGTGCATTGCTCTCCACATTTTCAGTATTTTCAATCATTTTTAAAAGGTTTGCTAGTGGCTGAGAGAGTATTAATACTAGGGGTGTTCAAAAGAATCGATTGAAACTAGAATCGGTGGGCACCCGGGGTTTGGTTTCGGTTCCTACCCAGAACCGACCCTCAACGGGTAGGTTCCGGTTCCAAATTTTTGAAACTAGAATCAGGAACCGAGACTAATATAAAATAAAATTAAAGATTAGGGGAGTTAATAAAAACTTATGTAGAAAAAGTAATGTGAATACATTTATATTTATATTTCATAACATTTAAAGTAAGTTGGTNCAATAACAAATCAACTTCAACACCTCAAGTTCAGTCAACTCCAAAGCTTCTAAGCTCCGCAAAACTCTACAAACAACTACCATTCACATACACAATCTAAAGCTCTGATACCAAATGATCCAAAACCACCATGAAAACTCAAAGAAACATCACAACATCACATACATAGAATCGGCCAAGCTAGACTCTTCACAAACTTCATTCATGTTTCAACTATCTAGGGTATTTCAACTTCAAAATCATGCAAACAGAATAGAAAACACATACAACCAGATTTGAACAACACTAACCACCATTGGAAATTCGGCCAAGGTAAGATGAAACACAATAACATTTACTTGAATAAAAAAAGGATAGAGACAAGAAGAGATCTTCAAGCATGAAGAATTTTTCCACCAACTTGAAGTTGAATCACCATCAAATCCTTTGTCAAGACTTGGACAAAGATTTCAAGACAAAAGGAAAGTTATTCCTCTCAAGTGTTTAATTTTTAATATCATTATTCAACCTTACAAAATGAGAGAGGGTTTGCTTTTATAGTAGCATTACAAGGGTAATTAACTACTTAAGTAAAATAAATATGCCACCTAGGATAATTAACTAAACATAACAATACTTAATTAAATCTTACTAATAAGAGTGCATGAGTTTGGACCTTGTAATTCATTAAAGGGGCCCCAAAATGAAATAGCATAGAATGGTCTTTAGGCTTGGATAATGGGCTGTTTTGGACCTCTTAAATGCTTGGGTCTTCTCTTTGTTGGACTTGGATTTCACTTGAAGAATTTGTGCTTGAATGGGCTTGGGCCGAAATGTCTCCTTTATGCACATGTGTTGAGTTGTTTCCTTGCATAATTTGGGCTAATTCCTCTCCTTGAGCTTGGGCCGAATTTGACTTGCCTTTTTGGATAACTTGGGCTAGCTTTCGTCCTTGGGCTTGGGCTGAATTACAATTCTTGTGATCCACATGCAATGTACCAAGTGATTTAGGACTTGGATTGGCTAACTTTGATTCAATCAAATTTGCAAGTGCATTATGACTTGCAATTCTATTTCCACTCAAGTTTACAAGTGTTTTAGGACTTGTAAAAGGATCACCCTCTCAAATAGCAAAAACTGCAAGTTACCACCACCCCCACTGACTTTGAAATTAGCCACTAGACTCCTTATTGTCAATTGTTTATGTCAAAGTTAACTAAGGTAAGACTAAAATAAGCTTTTAGGTTCATATACAAATTTGTAAAATGAAATATTTCTATTCGAATAAAAAATATTTTAGAATTTTTTTATTTATTTAAGTTTGATATTATATATATTTTTTTTAATTTTTGAAGAATCTCCTACCATCTCAAATCACTGGAATTGTTGAAAAGGAGGATCCTCAGCAAAGGCGGAACGAGGGGGTGGCTCCCCATGGCTATAGCCCAAGTGGGTTTTGAAAAAAAATGAGATTTATAATATTTTTAGATTTTATAAGTATATATATTATCTCTTAATTCTTTTATTTTTAACACTTTTGGTTAGAATTCGTTCAATACCCCCTTTTTTTTTCTCTTTTCTTTTCACGCCCTTCTTTCTCTATTTCTTAAATTCTTGATTAAAAATATATTTGTTTCATTTCTCCCCAAGATTGTAATAAATTCAATTTATCATATGTATATTTTTCTTCATTTTTAAAACAAAATATACTTTTAAATGACAAAACTCAATACATTAAATATGTACATTTTTACCAACACAATATTCTCAAATTAGCAAGATATGTAGATTTTTTAATGGATTGTTTTTTCAACCCTCCTGAAAATTAATTCTTGGTTTCACCCTTGAACCTCAGGTCACCACCAAAAATGGCGATTTGAGATCGCTAAATGGCAGTCTTTTAGATTTCAGTTTGTAATCTAATATTGCTGCCACAATATTGGATTGCAACAACAATCTTTAAAATTGTAGTGGCGACCAGATGTTGTCGGCGTTGTTTTTTTTTTTTTTTTTATGTATATTCTAAATAATTTTTCAACATTTTGATTTTTCAATAGAGAAAAACTTATTTTAAATAGTATATTTTATTTTATTTTTTCAGTTTTTGTATTTTAATTTACAAAACTATATTTAAAAAGTACGTGTTAATTTTTTTTAAAGAGTTTTATCATGCGTCCTCCTGAGGTTTCCTTAAATCAAAATCTCCCCCTCATGTATCGGAAACAATAATTTACCCGTTCTCGTCACTGTTCTGTAGGTTTTCATTACTCATCTTATACACTTAATCGGTTAAATTAAATAGCAAAATCCTAACGGAACAAGGACAATAGGGGGTAAGTTGTTATTTTTGATACCATAGGGAGGATTGTTACTTAATGAAACCTCAAGTAGAAATTTCATTAAACTGTTTTTTAATTTTAATTTCTTATATTTTTTAGTGTATGAAAATAAAAATTTAAAAGAAATATAAGTTAATAATTAACAAATTGTTTTAATTTCTTTATGCACAGTTTTTTTAAGAAACAATAAATCCTTTTATAAAATTACATGGTTTTAATGGTCAAATTATCTCAAATATGTGGGCATATATGTAATTTTAGTAGTGGAGCCATTATCAAGGGCATTTCGATCTTTTTGTCAGCCAACCATTAGGGCTGTGCAAAAAAATCCGATATCTGATATTCGATCCGGATCCGATCCGAAAAAACCAGATATCCAAAAATTCGGATCGGATACGGATCATAATTTTAAACAATTCGAATATCCGGATTGGATACCGGATCGGGGTTACTAAAAAAACAAATATCCCTATCTGATCCGGATTTTACTAAAACTACACCGTTTTGATTTTGATGCACACCCCTTTCAAATTTCAAATATCACTACAATTTAACTTTAACTCAACCTAAGTCTAACTCTTAACTCTCTCGACAATCACAAACTCACCATCGCCATCTTCATTCTTCATTTACAGTCACCAAATCTCCATCGCCATCTCTCTCACTCACTCCTTCCATCATCAAAGCCAAGATCGTCATCAACATTGGAATTAGAGAGCCCCAAATCGTCAGTTCCTTTCCTAAATCCCTGATTGAAGCCCCAAATCGAAATTAATTTAGGGTTTTACAATAATCCCTAAATTGAAGCCACAAATCAGACCATTCCAGCATTCCTACTTGTGATTTCTTGTACTAGAAGGCCCGATTCACAAAAGCCCTCAAATTTAAAAGGTAAATTTTGCATTTTTTCTTCTTCTTTTATATGAATCTATCAAAGAATTGTGATGCTTCATGAAATGAATAACAGAAAATTAAAGCTTTAACAGAAGAACCTCAATGACCCTAATTAATGCCTCCAAGGCTCAAACTATATTCCTCCAACCATTTATTTATGCTCCTTCAGTCAATTTCAGGTTTGTTCTTTCGACCCTCTTATTATTATTATTATTATTTTGATAAACCCTGACAAAACCCTCTTGTATGCATTATTTTGAAAAGTGAAATTGAGCTTCAATTTTGGGTCAAAGAAAGAAGAAATAAATTGGGTTTTCTTTAATTTTTAATGCATGTTTATTTATTCTCAGCATGCAAGTTTGTACTTTGTTTGGCTTCATTGTATTATTAAGCTTTGAGTTTGTTTATAGTTTTTAGAATTTTCTATCAGTGCTTTTATCAATAATGTCTTTCTGCGTAATCTTAGATAAATTTTATCTTGTATGTTTCTTTATATTTTCTTTTTCTGTAGGGAGATTGAGAATATGGGTATGTTGTTTCATTTCAGCCAACAAAATATACTTTTTAATCCTCCTGATGCCAATGTTAAAATTTGAGGACGAGTGGGGGTAAAAATTACTCCCAACTCTCTTCTAGTCACACAATTACTTTGTAGTTTGTAGAATGAAGAAGAAATTAAATTAATAATAAACTACTTCTGTGCCTGCACAAACCTCCCTTCTTATCTTCATTTTTTTATATTACTAGATTATTGAATTTTTATTGTTTAATTAGTTTAAACAAGAATAAGATTTTTTTCCCAAATTCAATTTAATTATATATGTTGGATAATGAATGTTGCTATGTTAATGTTATTGATGTTTGTTTCGTCAACATTTTATTTGATGTTGTATGGTGTAATGAGTTGATTGTTAAAGTGGGAAAATCCAACCAATTGGTGGGGCTGGTTTGTTTGATTAGAAAAATAGAAGTGTTTTCCTTTATGAGTATGAATTTGTTGGCTGTACACTTGTTGTTTTGGATTCATTAATATTGGTTTGGCATTTTGGAGGTTGCTAACATAATGTTGTCTGTATATATTAATAGGTTGAATTAAATTTTAGGGATGAATGATAAAAGAAGCATAAATTCTAGACTTATTGTTTGTAAACTGCAGGTTGGAAGCATAAAGATTAAGGCAAGCTTTAACTTGAGAATGAAGAACCATGATGGCAATTTAGTCCGTGAAGGAAATAGAGGGAAGTTGGTGTGATGAAGTTGGCATGAAGAATTGACGATTAGAAGATGTATTAGTATTAAGTTGGCTGCTTTTGTTTGTCTTTCTATTAAATTTGTAATTTGTGTAATAGAGTATGTGTTAAATTGGTTAAGCAACTTGTGGATTAATTTGTTGGTATCCTGCATGATATAATTTCAATTTTATTGCTAGAATTATTTGATTTTAATAAGAAAATTTTAAAATTCGGATCAATTTCGGATATCCAATTATCTGATCCGAATAATCGGATATCCGTAAAACCGGATATTCATATAATTCGGATCGGATTCAGATCAGAATATAGCCTGATCCGAAAATTTGGATCGGATCAGAAAAAGGCCTATTTGGATCAGATATCCGGATTTGAGCAGCCCTACCAACCATTGCCCTCCATCTAAAATAATGGTTAAAACTACGACAGGAGGTTTAAGTGGCTAATCCCAAGTTGGTGGGGGTAAATAGTTTTTACTATATCTTTCAATGTACGCATCGTTATTTTATCAACACAACCCAGTCTCACGTACTCTCTCTCACAATTATGATGTAATCTCACAAAATCTTTCTCACAACCCTGATATAACAACTCGTAATTATTAGTTTGCAATTAAGTGGGAAAATGAATTAGAAACCAATTGCGAGTTGCTATATTGGAGTTGTCAAAAAATGTTTGTGAGATTGTGTTGTAAGTGTAGTATTGCCCTTATTTTATTTATATATCAATGTCATGTTTGATGACACATCACTTAGAGCATCTTCAATGGTGCTCTTTATTTTAAAAAACATCTTTCATATAAATAAAAAACATCTTCTTTAATTTCTAAATACAAAGAACAATTTTTTTATTTAAATCCAATAGATTATTTAAATTTAATGAATATGCTCTTTATTTTCAAGAAAAATACTTAATAGAAGAGAGAATTAATAAGTAAAATGCATAAAAACTTGTAGTTTATTAATTAAAATTATGATAGACAATGAAATTTGACTCTCTACATGTGGAGAGTTAAATTCATTCTTTAATTTATATTTAAATGATAAAGAGTCTGCTAGACTTTGGTTTTTATAGATAAACTCTTTATAATAAAGAGTTTGTGTTATATAAAGAGTCATTTGGAGATACTCTTAGGATATAGAATTAGGGATAAGTGTTGGGAAAATTAGTATTATTGATTTGACTGATGAAAAACCTTTAACTTTTTCTTAGGAGGAGAGGATCAAAATAAAAATATTATATTAAGATTTTGAAGAGGCAATTCGTTAATAAATATGAAATACAGTACAATTGAAGTGAAATAACCAATGAACATGGTTAATTTGGAAATAAGTTAAATATATTTATAAATTAATATAGTAAAATGAAGTTTAATATAAAATGGGGCTTACTAATAAGTTTGTGGGGTTTAAGAACACCTTACTCATATACAAAAGCAATATTTCGATGGGCCAATATTGCATAAGCAATATTTAGATGGGCTGAACCGTTACAAATTTCATTGGCCCAACCCAAGATATATAAGGGCTAGTGGACTACAACCAGACCCATGCAGGAAACTCTAACATGTAAATAAATACAAACATATGGGGCAATCTAGTCAAATCAAGTAACTTTTAAAGTTGTAGATCTACACCGCACGATCCAACACCCCGAATACCAACCGTCCGATATATAACCCAGCGAGCGGCTCCCAAAAATTCAAATCTCTTCCCCAGCCCGCTCTCATTTTCAGATTTCATAACACACAGACAGAGTTAGAAAGAGGTTCGAAGTGGATCTACTAAAAGGAAACACCATAGGCGCGTCCGATTCACCTTCTAATCCTCGATTCAAAATGTCCGGTCGCCACGAGAAAGAGAAAGGCGTGAATGTGCAAGTCCTTCTGCGTTGCAGGTACAGTGATGATTGTGTGTGTGTGTTTATTTCTTTCTTCATTTGCGAAATATTGAAACGACTGGTTTTGTTTGTGTCGTTTTGAGTGGTTTTCAGGCCGTTTAGTGAGGACGAGCTAAGAAACAACGCGCCGCAAGTCGTGACTTGTAATGACTACCAGAGAGAGGTCTCCGTTTCGCAGAGTATCGCCGGGAAGCATATCGATAGGGTTTTCACTTTTGATAAGGTACTTTTCAGAAAAAAATTATGGAACTTTTTTTTGTAGAAAATATGGTTAATAAATTTGCGATTTGAAATCTTAAAATGTGTTTATTAGTTCAATTTTCTATTTTATTGTGGAGAGTTTAGTAAATTAGAGTGATTTCCTTGTATTGTTACTATAGTATTTTGATTTTGCCAAATTTAGAAAGGGCCAGGTTATGAGATGCTTTGAAAACATTGTAAAACTTACTAAATAGAAACTTAAAGTTCTACATCGATGTCATAACCATTTGCTTTCAAATAAATGTTTTGAAACGGAAGCATGTGCATATTTGAAAACATTGGTGCATTTTGATTTATGTTGCAGTTAAAATCGTACTTTAATTAAATACCCTTTTCTTTGTGGAATATGATTATTATGTGGAATATGATTATTATGCATATTATAGCACCAAAATTTGGACTTAAACTTGGCAGATTAATATGTGTATTACAGTATTAGTGTCTGCTGCAACCTGATTGATTCGTGTAACTTTATATTGACAATCAAACTTCAAAGGGTTGTGTTAATGATACATGTAGGTTTTTGGTCCTTCAGCTCAGCAAAAAGATTTATATGAACAAGCGATGGTTCCTATTGTGAATGAAGTTTTGGAAGGTTTTAACTGTACCATTTTTGCTTATGGTCAAACTGGTACAGGGAAAACATTCACGATGGAGGGTGAATGCAAAAGGTCAAAGGTATTATACATGCAACTTGTGATTATATTATTGTGATTTATCTTTTCTGTATTTTTTCAATGAATCATATTGTCATATGGAATGAGTCAGAGCGGGCCCAATGGAGAATTGCCTGCAGAAGCAGGAGTCATACCTAGAGCTGTTAAGCAGATTTTTGATACACTTGAGAGCCAGAATGCAGAGTATAGTGTGAAAGTTACTTTCTTAGAATTGTACAATGAGGAGATCACTGATCTACTTGCCCCGGAGGAAATTGCAAGAGTTCCTTTGGAGGAGAAACAAAAAAAGCAGTTGCCTCTTATGGAGGACGGGAAAGGTGGAGTACTTGTAAGAGGTTTGGAGGAGGAAATTGTTACAAGTGCAAGTGAAATTTTCACTCTACTGGAACGGGGATCTGCAAAACGCAGAACTGCTGAAACTTTGTTAAATAAACAATCAAGGTAACCTCTTTGGCTTCCGTCCTGTGCAGAATTAAAGTCAAGTTTCCTTCTTTAATTAAGGATCTGTCTTGTATTACAGTCGGTCGCATTCTCTGTTTTGCATCACGATACACATAAAGGAAGCTACCCCTGAGGGTGAAGAACTAATTAAATGTGGCAAACTGAATTTGGTTGATTTAGCTGGCTCAGAAAATATATCTCGTTCTGGTGCTAGAGAGGTATACGGAACTTAGCTTTATTGTCTGACTTTATTTGGGGTTTTGGTTTCAGTGTAGGAAGGTCACAGTTGAAATTTAAGCTGAAATTACTGATACATGGTATATTATTATTAATCAGGGTCGTGCAAGAGAGGCTGGTGAAATTAACAAAAGTTTACTTACTTTAGGGCGAGTCATTAATGCTCTTGTGGAGCATCTTGGCCATATCCCATACAGGTTTGAACTGCTTTCTTGGGCTGTTCAGGTGTAGCCGATAATTTTATTCCTACTGAATTCAAGTATATGATAAATTGTGATGTAGGGATAGCAAGCTTACTCGGTTACTTCGTGATTCACTCGGGGGAAGAACCAAGACATGCATTATAGCTACAGTTTCTCCTGCAGTTCATTGTCTGGAAGAGACCTTAAGTACACTGGATTATGCCCACAGGGCAAAGAATATTAAAAATAAGCCCGAGGTTTGTTCTTGTTATACATAGTTGTTTACTTGGTTTCACGTGGTTTCATAAAGTGTTCCTCTTATAAACAAAACAAGGTTCTTGGGAATTAACACCAGGAAGTCACACATTAGATGACCTTTTTGGCAGATTTAAAAGTCTTATTTGCTTTCACATAAATGTTGCTATCTATCAATGCCTTAGCCAAATTTGGGCAATACAACAAATACCCAAAACAAAGGGGAGATACAACAAAACTTGCAAACTAAAGGATCCTTAAAGAAAGAACCCTAAACAAAAGAAGTAATGGAATTACAACTTGGGATGATTAATAACAATGATATGGGTCCTTATATATAGGCCCCAAAAGTTTTCCACTTTTCAATTCTAATCAATGTGGGACAAACAACCTTTTCTTGGCCTATTACATATAAGTCCCTAAACCTTTCTCTATTATCATTTCTACCCCACGTGAATTTGCTAAAAGCCATTTTTCAACATGGGGCACTGCTGGCTCAGTCAAACTTTGGACCTACGTGCCTGGTAATGCATAATTAGCTCTTTATTATTATATTCTTACATAAAAGTCGGATTTATAAGCAGAATTCATCTTCATGAAATGAATCTTTTTTTTTTCTTCAAGTTTCTTTATTTGTATTCTATCAAAAAATTTACAAATTTGATTACGAGTTCCATGTTCTAGCAGAATTGATACTGACATGCTTTCATCCATGTGAAAAACATAGAAAAAAATGCAGTGATTGTTAAGGAGATGATAGAAGCAATAGATGATGAAAACAAGACGATCAAATTCAAAATTTTGGATAGAGGTGTTATGGAGTATTACAACAGTTTCGAGTCCACCATTCAAGTAACAGCAAAAGAAAAAGGTAGCTTGGTGAAATGGGCAGCGGAATATTTGACATAATATTATTCACTATTTATTTCATTAATTTTTTACATATGTAATAATATTTAGTTTATTTCTTTTTGTTAATTACATTATATTTGCTTATAGTGTTAAAGTTCCAATTTCGAAACTATAATGAGATGGATATAATTGTCAGCATATATCATCAGTTATGGAAGACTTGTAAGTGCAGTGGCAAAAAGAAAAAAGAATCTCCATCATGTAAAAAAAAAAAAAATGTAAAATAAATCATTATTTTATTAAAAAAATATTGAACATTACATTCTAGACCTCTTAGGCCCAAACTAACTTGCAGCGTAATCTTAAAAAGGGCTCAAGCCCACACCAAAACTCTTTTTAATATTATCGATTTTTTAGTATATAAAACTATATTACATATTTAAATTACCAAAAAGGGTCCATTTGTCAATTTTTTTTTAAATTTAATAAGATAAAACTCCTTCCCATTAAGCGAAAATGAAATTATTTTCTAATCCTGAATTTCTTTCTTTAAATAAAAACAGAAAATCCATATCCAAACACTTACAACATATTTTGCCCAAACGAAAAAATAAAAAACAAGAAAGGAATTCATTGATAAACAGTACTTCAATATATTAGCATGTAGCTTCCGGTCTTAGACATATTAAGCGATTCAGTCTGATCTTATTGGATCTGTTATTCGTTAATTATCGTGCCTTTCTCTTGAATCTTTCGCAACCATTCACTTAATTTCCAATTTCAATGAGTATAATTATCTGACATGAGATGTCCCCTGATAAGATGGTCGCCCACACTTTATTTTTTTAATCGATTATTATTGATCTGCAATTCTGCATTATTTCTTCCTGTAGATTCTCTTATCGTCCAGTCACTCCAGTCGATCAAAGAATGTGCTGTTAAATATTAATATAGCAAAAACAATAAGAGCTAACAATTGAAAAAAAAAAACTTTTGAAAAATTATAAATACAGGTTTTTATGGGTCGGTTTGATTTGTTATTTTGGACACGATTTTAGAGATAGTATTGGATAGTTGAGTAGGGTGATTATTATGAGGTAAAATTTAAAAATTAACAAAAAAAACCCTTAGGTTTGCTAATTTAACTAAACACTCCAATATACAAAAATTTTGTAAAATAACAAAAACGTCCCCACACAACCACAGTGCCAGATTCCGGCCACCACCGCCGAAATCTGGTTGGAATCTGGTGTTACGACGCAGATTGGTCAGATCTAGTCGGTCGTACGTCAATCTGGCCTTTTTTGACCAGATCTACCACGGATCTGGCCGAAAAATACCAAATTTATGGCCGAATCTGGCCGTCGATGGTTGGAAAATGCTAGATCTGACCGTTAGGGACGGCCAAAGATATGGTCGTTGTTGTCAGTCAACGACGGCCAGATCTGGCCAAAAAAGGCTAGATCGGTGAATTACCGGCCAGTTCCGGTGGTTTGTACACCGTTGTGACATATTCCGACTACCACCAAAGGTGGTTGCCGGAATCTAGAAACTATGGGTGGGTGGGGGTATTTTTGTTAATTTTTAAACTTTTTTCTAGGGGTGTTTAATTAAATTAATAAACTTAAGGGGTCTAAAAGTAATTAAATATAATATAATAGTATTTCCTAAATAATGAAATAAACAGTTATTTTGAGAATAGGATAGGGAATAGGGTATGAAATAATAAACCAAACGCACCCATAATAAAATCCTAATATTCATAAATTACTGAAAATGGATTAAATTCTGAGGTAAATCTTTGTAATTGAGAAGTATCATATGAATAAGGAGAAACTATTGGGGATTGGTTAAACCAATTTGATTTGGGATTATCCATTTTAAAGTACAACGGAATATTTACCAAGTATATTAAGACATTTTTCAGGTTTTAGCTACATCAAACACAAGTTAAGAAAGTAAAGAACACAGTCATATACATGGTTCAGCTAAATCCACTTTTAGCCTACATCCATGGGACCTTGTTCAGATCGAAGCAATCCACTAAGTTAAAAACACATTACAAGATATAGTTCAAAGCTAATCTAAGTGACAGTAAAAAGAACTCCCTGTTCAACTTTACACTTAGCACCACATTTTGAATCTTTAACGTGTAACAACTTCTTGGAGCTTCCTCTCGCCGGGAACACACTCGAAAACAGCTTGTAAACCACTAAGCTTCAAGCACCAACGCCACACACCAGCATCAGCAAAGGAACCACATTCCAAGAGCCATCAAATTTTGTTTGATATGGTGAGGTTTTGGCACAAAATGAAAAATGAACCTTGAACCTTAAGAGAAAGAATACTCTAAGAAATTCAGAGTAAGATGAAATAAAAGATCAAAAGGTTTGATACATTTACGCAAAAAAAAGTATTATATAAGGAAAGTTTTTTTGATCAACAAAACAGTATCACGTCAGCCAATAAGGAGTTGACCCATGTTTGTCTAAATAAAGAAAGTATTTTTTCTTTTGGTTTGGACCACAAAACAAATTGGGAAAGATAACTTTATTCCCTATGACCCCTTAAGGAAAAAATGACTGATGTAAAAAAGTCATAAATATCAAGAGACAAAGATAAACACAATCTTTTTCTCTTTATCAGACATGCAACTCGTGTCGGGTTGCAAAGAGTCCGAAGCGAGAGTGTAAGCACAGACCGTTGTGCACACACACTCGAGACGAATCAAGCCAAGACACATGTCTGGCAAACTTTGCACTGTGCACAGACACAACAGTTAAGACAAGCCGAATAAAAGGATTGGCAGCTAGTGTGCACACATAACTGTTGTGCACGCACACAAAATTAACAAATTTGACAAAAATAAATATTCTACCTAAACAAACTTAAGAAATTACTTTCTCAGGATAAGAATTTTTAATATTGCCATTGAGTTGATCAAAATAGTAAACTGATAGATTCAATGTATGGTTTATTTCTCTTTGATTATTAATCTATTTTCTCTTTTACTCGCGTTACAGAAACAAAAATGCGTTCTCAAAAGAAATTGTACTCATATATATATTATATATATATAATATATATATATATATATATATATATATATATATATATATATATTTTTTTTTTTTTTTTTTACCACACATTCAAAAATAATTTATATCAATTGATATTAGTCCATTAATTTATATGATACTGGATGTAGACGTTAAAATCTACTTGTACAGAAGGGGGGTCTGATCCGTGAGGTTGAGACCACTAGCGATCTGCTGCACCTGCACACGTAGAGAAACAAACGCGTGAAGCGAACGGAAAACACCGAGGTGGTGTTTGTATAGGCACTCGACGCTCAGTCAATAAGGTTGAAAGAGGCAGTATAGTAAGGGCTAGGGAGTGAGAGGTTACCGAAAGTCTAGTCGGGGGCTGTGACTACGACAGTGATGTGAAGCTCTCAAGTAGGAGCTTCGGGTGTGAAGGTGTAATGTAATGTCTCCCTTATGAGAGGGCTGGCCAACTGTTTATATAGCGACTGTCTGCGTCTTCAATCCTGGTGGGATGAGGAGTCTTAGTGTGACTCTGATGCAAACCCTAGCAGAATTAGCGTTTAGATAGGAAGGTGATCCTGATAGGGAAAGTAACTTCGAGTAGGAAAGTGTTCTGAACAGGAAAGTGATCAGTGGGGCCCATGGGCTTTGAACTCGCCTATAGGCCTAGGAAGTGAACTTAAACTGGGAGACCCGTGCCCAGATGGTTTGGGCAGGCCGCATCTCGTATCAAATGGGACTGGTTTCTTCTTCACTAGTGGTCCTGTTTTCCTATTTGGGCCAATGACGATTTTTAGCCCTAACACTAGATAGAATCTTTTAGCTTAAAATTTTGACACAAATTTTCAGTTGTGAATTCACTACAATCTAATAGTGTAGGAGTTGTTGCAGTGGCAAATAAAATAACTAACTCCAAAACCTTTTCACATCTCATGAATCTAAAACAATCTAATGGTATAGGAGTTGTTGACGTGATAAAGAAAATAATTACCTCCAAATTCCTTCTCATATCCATTGAATTGCAAATGGTCAAGAATTTGTGTCTTAATTAATTAAATCAAAATTTTAGGTTAAAAGATTTAAGATCTCATCCCTATGATATTATAATGTTATTTGGACGGGTTGAATCTGTTATATCCTGGACTTTTAATTTAACTTATATCGCTTTTAACATAAATAAGCATACAGAAATTATATCTATATGCAATGTATTCGTGATCTTCTTCTGTTCTTTAATTAGTAATTACTTGTTTATTGATCTTAAATATCAATATTTAATTGTGAGCATTTATTTATTTGATGTGAAATGTCGAGATATGCATTATGATTCACTATGGGCGGGGAGAGTAGTTAGATTGCAAATCATTTTTTGTTGAATTCTTATTTCAGTTCTTTTTGACGAGGGTCTTTTGGTATGATAATGCTGAAAATATGGTTTCTTCGTCTTATCTTACAATGCGTGATGACATCAGACTTTCATTCATTCTTTTAAGCGAAAATTAAAAAATAGATAACGTGAATCATGTGATTCAACAAAAATAATGTGAGTTTATGCGCATCTTATTGATCTAATATATATTGAGTTTTCGCCAACGAATTTAAGTTTTTAGGTGCACTACAATTTCACATAGTATTAGAGGTAAATATCTTAAATTCAAATCCCCACATGCAAACTAGATAAAGAAAAATGAGAAAAATTTAAATTTGATGTGAGAAGGTTTATTGGTCTAATATATATTAAATCATCATCTACAAGCTTAAGTTTTTAGATGGTATGACAACTTAACATACCTCAATTAATCTTGTGGTATCTTAGAACTACAGATCGGATAAAAGCTTTAGTGAAGACTACTATTAGAGATTGTGGGGACTCAAACTTGAGAAACCATATAAACTTATATCATTTTTTACTCTTTTACCATCAAATCACTTAATGATGATTGACATTAAATATTTTTAATAATATATTTTATGGCTTTTAAGCCAAAACAAATATTTAGGATACAACACGGTATAATGTCACTAATGCATTTAAATTACTCTATTTAGTAAAATTCCATCACATAATATATAAATTGAAAATTTTATATGTCAATGTTCAGAAATTTTAACCTGTAAACCAAAAGTTAACGATTAATTATTGGCTTTAATTTTTGATTTCGCAAATTCATCATCTAATCGTTGACTTTTTGTTTACATGTTAAGAATTTGTGGACGTCCATACCAGAAAATGACTGTATATATAAATGTTTATGTGTAATTTATGAATAATTCTATATATTTAAAGCTACATCCCATCTGATGTAATTGTTTGCGTAACAATATTTTATTAATATTAAAATGATGAATTAAATATATTAATTTCCATAACTAGTAGTATTGATGTGCATATAAATGACGTGGAATTGTAGTTATATTCAAAACTTTCCATTCGAGGTGGGGCTACTGCAGATGGATATCCATAAATATTAGAAAAATGGGAAGTGCTAACATAACCGTGTTCTACAGATCGATGATCTGTACCTGGCTGGGCACACAAATCTTCTATAAAAAGGCTAGAGGCCATTGTTTTTCATCACAGCCTTCTCTTGTTTAACTGCAAATACTATTAAGCTTCTTGAAATCAACAGGGAAAAGATATGTCTCTAGGTGGTCAGTTGGAAACTGATGTAGAGATCAAGGCTCCTGCCAAGAAGTTTCATGATGTCTTCAGCTGCAGACCTCACCACATTTCCAATGTCTGCCCTGAAAAGATACAGGGTGTCGATTTACATGAAGGTGATTGGGGAAATTCTGGATCTGTAATCTGCTGGAATTATATGCATGGTAAGGCCAATCTGCTGAAGCTCTTATCCGTGGATATAGATAGGTTATACCAAATTACGTTAATTATCATATCTCTTTGTAATTCCTAATTAACAGATATATCAATATGTTATTAAATTCATTACTAATAATCTAACATAATTGTTGTGTGGCAGATGGGGTTCCTGAAGTTGCAAAGGAGATAATTGAAGCCATAGATGACGAGAAAAACTCAACCAATTTCAAAGTGAATGAAGGACATCTGCTGGAGAAGTACAAGAATTTCCATCTCATTGTTCAAGCCACTCAAAAGGAAGAGGGCAGCTTGGTGCATTGGATTTTGAAGTATGAGAAGGTGAGTGAGGATATTCAAGAACCAAAAGGGATGCTTAAATTGGCAATCGATGTTACCAAAGATATTGATGCTCACCTTATGGAGCAGGCTAATTAGATCTGCAGAGATTGCTTAATAATGAATAATAAATAAAATAATATGTATGTGGGTGTGTGTGTGATTTGTTTAAACATGTTGGCGTAATTACGTGCCCTATAAATATGAAGTACTGGCCTATTGGAATTATATCAAGTGCTTGTATAATAAATGATTTGAAGTATTTTATTGTGACAGCTTTCTTAAGTCTTGAATATGAATAATATTTATGTACTTGTCGAGTGTTTTCTAGATATATGATTTCAGAAATAAACAATGTTTCCAGGCTACAAAACCAATAAGAATGGCAGTTGACACATCTCGTTTTTAATAAAGATTAAACAAAATGCTCATAATTTTTTAATTTAGAGAAAATTAATATCTATAATTCTTTCATATATTAATGGTATTAGGTCTCTATCGCCCTAAGATATTAGGCAATTCCCTTTATTAACCCTAATTTTGTGGGAAGGAAAGTTTGCTAGCTTTTTATTGGCAATTGAAACCTGTTTCACTTTGAAAACCACACCAACTATATTGACATATTGCTGACAAAAATTATAGTTAGCAAAACTTGACCATTATCAATTGAAATTGGCTTTTTTAGTTTGCCTAAAGGGATTGTTAATTTGTTGGTTTATGGAAAACACCAGTCAAGAATGGATTGCACTAAAGAAAGACAAGGCTATATCTAGTTACAGAAGAAAAAAGATAAAACAGAGGAAGAAGAAAGTGTAAATTGATACGTCTCTTATTCAATGATAGGCAACGTGAACCTTGGGCATTACAAGAGGAGTTTTTAAAGAAGTAAAACTAAAGAAATGAATCCCATAAAATCTGATACAAATGGTCCTGCAGTTGGCGTTATCCTCCAAAAATCATGCAGTTTCTCAGATTTGCAGTTGGCGTTATCCTCCAAAAATCATGCAGTTTTGAATTGGTCTTTGGATAGGATTTTCTGCACTCATATCTTTTTGACAGCTTTACATTAGGATCTTCCATATTAGCCGAAACTGATGAAACTTCATGTTGATATGATTTTTCTTGATTTTTTGGATTTGCTGGATCATCATTTTGGTTTAAACTTATTGCCGTCAGAGCTCCAATACTCCTCAACGTCTCTCCACTGATTTCGGCAACATTGTGAGAGTCTTCCCCCTTTTTTCTCCAAGAATCTTGTGCTTCCTTATTGCTCCATTGACTCTCACTAATGTTGAGTGTGCCGAGCTGTGGTTTTGGTTTGTTGCTAATACCCTCCCTCAAACTTTGCCGGGGTTGGAGGCAAAGTTTGTTTTGAAAATATTGAAGGGCTGCTTTTGACATTGGCTTTGTGAAGAGGTCAGCAACTTGGTTATCAGTGGAGATATGTTGAGTGATAAGCAGTCCACGTGTAACTCGTTCGCGCACAAAATGATAATCCAACTCTATGTGTTTGCTTCGGGCATGGAATACAGGGTTAATTGTCATATAAAGAGCACTGAGGTTGTCACAATAGAGTATGGGAGGAGATGATATTGCAATTCTAAGATATTTGAGAATGAATGTCATCCAAGTGAGTTCAGCTGCTGTGTTAGCCATGGCACGGTACTCTGCTTCCGTGCTTGATTGCGAAATGGTGTGTTGTTTTTTTGCACACCACGAGATGAGGTTTCCTCCAAGGAACGTACAGTAGCCTGTAGTTGATCGTCTTGTAGTAGGACACCCTGCCCAATCTGCATCTGAGAAAGCAAAAAGATCAAGTGTACTATGTGAAAGAAAAATGTAATCCCATTTCAATTGTTCCTTTGACATATCGTAGGATACGTCGAACCATTTTTAAGTGTGTCATTGTGGGAGTGCATGAATTGGGATACATAATTAACACTAAATGAAATATCTGGGCGAGTGAGTGTAAGATATTGAATGCTCCAACAAGACCTCGATAGTAGCTTGGGTCTTCTATAAGAATTTCATTGGAAGAAGTTTTGGTTTTAGCTTCAAGAGGTGTACTCATTGGCTTGCAATCTACATATTGGAGCGTTCAAGTATGGTAAGGGCGTAGTGGGACTGAGATAGATGAAGCCCCCTATTTGTTGTCGTGATTTCCATTCCAAGAAAGTGGTGAATTGGTCCCAAATCTTTCATCGCGAACATCACTGCTTAATAATGTAATGAACCTTTCAACAAGTTCTGGTGTAGATCTGTAAGCAATATGTCATCCACATAAAGTAGTAAGATTAGTGAACCAAATCAGAGTGAAAAACAAATAATGAAGGATCAGCTAAACTACAAAAAAAAAACCAAATTAAGAGAAAAGCACAAATCGATCAAACCAAGCACGTGGTGCTTGTTTTAACCCATAGAGTGCTTTTTGTAGTTTACAAACATATGTTGGATGTCCAGGTCTACCATTCCTGGTGGTTGCCGATATAAAGATCTTCAGAAATTTGGCCATGCAAAAAGGCATTTTTTAAATCTAGTTGTCGAATAGACCACTGCTTAACAAGAGCAATAGTTATAATCATCCGAATTGTTCCTGGTTTGATCACAGGAGAAAAAGTTTCAGTGTAGTCTACTCCATCAACTTGATGATATCTTTTGCAAACAAACGTGCTTTGAGTCGATCTAAAGTTCCATCAGGCTTGAGTTTTGACTTGAATAACCATTTTGAACCAATGACATTCATGTTAGATGTGCAAGGAACGAGTATCCATGTTTGTTTGATGAAGAGCAGCAAGTCTTCATCCATTGCGTTTCCAACCAGGGTGTGCTAAGGCTGTTTGATATTTTGTGGCTCACGTGGTACATTGTCAGAGGTGATTGTGGTCAAAGCATACTTAGGGTTGGGTTTTACACACCTAGTTTTGCTCTAGTGACCATGGGAGTATGTTCTGAAGAGGCAGATGTGTGGATTTGGTGATCGTTGATGTGGTTGTTGGTGTGGGGCTACAATAGTGGTATTTCTAAGGTTCCTAGTGTTTGTGTCTCATGTGGGGATGGATTTTCAGATGGTCAATGCTGTTATCAATTTCGGGAGGTCATTTCAAAATTTCCTGTGGTGGTGTTGAGGGACTACATTGAGGAGAGGTTGTGGTGAGGGTTCGGGTGACATGGAATTTTGTGGGATTGTTGTTGTGTCTTGAAGTTGTGGTAAGGGACTTAAACATGGAGCTGTGGAGGAGGCTGAATGTGTCCCTGCATAAAGAGGAATATCAGTATGTGGGAACCAAGTGTCAAAAATATTTATAGCCAATGGCTTTGCCGTTGACTTACAAGAATTATTTGTAGGCCTATAAGGAAAAATTTGCTCATCAAAGACAACATGGCGGGAGGAATAAAATTTTTTGCTTGATGGATGAAAACATTTAAAGCCTTATGTTTTTCACTGTAGCCTACAAAGATGCAAAGAAGAGTTTTAGGATCAAACTTGTGACGCCTGTGTCCCAAGTGTAGGGAAAACACTTAGACCAAAGGCGCGAAGGATGAATAAATCGGATATTTTCCATGCAATGCAAAATATGGGGTTTCAAAATTGAGAGTGATGATGGTAGTCGATTCATGAGATATACCGCTGTAGAAAAAGCTTCTACCCATAAAAATAAAGGAGCACCACAATGAAACAACATAGTCATACCTAATTCTCTTATAATTCTATGTCGTCTTTCAACCATACCAGTTTGCTGGGAGTTATGGAGCTGATATTTGGTGAACAATGCCCGTGGAAAGAAAATGAGTTGATAGTTGGAATTAACGAACTCACCTCCTCCATCGGAATGAAAGATTTTTAAGCTTGTTGAATTGGCTAGCAACATATTTTTCAAAGGTTAGATATGCATTGAAAAAATCAGATTTTGCCGTAAAGGAATAATCCAGTATACTTTGAAAAATCATCAAACAAACAAGCATAATATCTGAATTTAGCAATAGAAAGAATAGGAGCAGGTCCCCACAAATCACAATGAATTTTTTCAAAAATACTTGTACTCGAATGTTCCGAACAAGAAAAAGGTAAACGACTAGCTTTCCTAGTTGACAACTATCACAAAGATGCTGTGATTTTGTTCCCTACAACATCAATTAACCCTTTTTTTTAACATTTGCAAAGCTGAAGATTGAGGGTGGCCGAGGCGTTGATGCCAAACCTCTGCTGTGACTGACTTGAAGCGATTAGAAAATAAAGTTCTGGTGAAGTAGATAGGACATAGAGATCACCCTTGCGTTTCCCTGTCATCATTGCTTGTCCTGTTTCCCGCTCCTTAACACAAAAATCCACATTAGAAAATTCACAGTTAATAGGAAACTGAGTGGTTAGCTGACTTACAGAGAGCAAATTCTTTTTTAGATTGGAACTAATAACACATCATTTAGAGGTAAGGCTGATTTTTTTTGTTTATATAAGAGTCTCCAATCGCAAGAATTGGCATGGAAGATCCATCTCCTATTAACACTGAATCGGAACCAGAGTAATGACGAATGGTAGTTAACTACCGACTACCTGTCATGTGATTAGAAGCTCGGTGTCGGTAGTCCATTCCTGTCTGCTATGGTATTGTCCAATGTCAATGCGCTAGTGCTTGTGGGATTTCATTTTGAGGAGTTGATTTTTTTGGTACCCACCAGCATATCTTCGCAATATGGCCCATCATTCCACAGTATTGACATTGCTGATCACGATATTTCTCCCTTTCGGAAGGTGTCAGCGACGTTCACCTGGTGGTGGAGGTCGGCGTTGTGCTTTGAAGGAGAGGAGTTGTAGGTTGCCTGAATCATTGCTTGCTGTGCTTGGAATCCACGTCCAGTTGACGTAAATGTTTGTGCTGGTCCATGATATCCTGAGTGTGTTTGATTGAGAACGTTGCTGTTTTTTACCATAAAATGCTACTGGATGTGTGAAGTGTGATGCCTGCACGTCGATGTGGTTGGAAAACCAATTCGCCTTTGATCATAATTTTGGAGTTGAGAAACCAATCAGAATAGGATGGTGGTGGAGGTTTTAACATGGTTGTTGTGAATGTTTCTATTGCTGACAAGACTGGTAAGAAGACAGAATACCTTTTCTTGGTCTGGAATTGGCTTCCCAATGTGCTAAATTGTCACAGAGACCTTTAAAGGTTCGGATGTGTTCTGTGATTGTTGTGTGGTCTTCTTTCGAAGGTAGGTAAGCTGTTGGCGCAAAGTGAATTCACGTTTTGTGATTTGGGCATATGCATTTTTGAGAGCTCCCAAACTGCATGTGCTGTATCAAGACCAACGACGAGGCTGAGAGCTTCCCA